TAAATAAAAAAATAAATAAATATATCTGTGTGTGTGTGTGTGTGTGTGTGTGTGTGTGTGTGTGTCACAACAGTTTATAAACCATCGGTAGATGACTTTATATGGTTTTGTGGCAAAAAATATGTTGTTGGTTTTGTTTCTCTGTTTTTTTTGTTGTGACAACAAATTAGCAGTTATACACATTTGAGGATTTTATATTTTTTGAATAAATTATTCATATATACGAGCCTTAAGTCACCCTCATGTGTGGATCAGCCTAACTACCGACAAATTTGCCAGAGAGGAATTTGAACCCTTGCCTAGAGGGTACTTAGGAGCTTCAAAGAGGTTGCTCTGCTAACAAGCCATAGCTAAAGGTACACACACACAAACATAAATAAATAAATAAATAAATAAATAAATAAATAAATAAATAAATATATCTGTGTGTGTGTGTGTGTGTGTGTGTGTGTGTGTGTGTGTCACAACAGTTTATAAACCATCGGAAGATGACTTTCGATGGCTTTGTGGCAAAAAATACGTTGTTGGTTCTGTTTCTTTCTCTTTTTTTGTTGTGACAAATGTCTAGCAAATTAGCAGTTATACACATTTAAGATTTATATTTTTTGAATAAATTATTCACATTCAATCTTATAAGTAGCTATGTGCAACACTCTAAACTCAAATTTATGCTTGCACACATGTTTATATATATAATGATTATTTTTTTTATGTTGTGCACAATCTTGTACATCTCTCTAAACACCAATTAAGAGCTATGCATATCCACTTACATCTATTTTGTTGCAACTAATATCATTTCCTTATTAAAAAAATAATTGTGTCCTCCATTAAACTTAACTTCACGCTATATACAACTATGTAGATACTTTCTGATTTTTTTTTTTAATTTGTAGTACTTCCAACTCTTGTTTACAATTTTTTAAACTCAAATTAATTATTATGCACCACTATTTATGTGTTCTTTTGAAAGATCTTTCATATTTTATGCTATAAATGATTGTTTACAACTCATTAAGGGTCTCTTTGAGGCAGCTGCAGCTTATTGAAGAATTTGTTGATAAACTGATTAAAAATAATCTGCTAATAAGCTAGGTGCGGTGACTATTAAAAATTTTTATTTGCTTGGAAAAGTCAGACTGCTGCCAGAAAGCTTCTACCACACCTAGATATGTGCGGTGTGAAAACGTTACTTCCAGCGTTTTCAAAACACACAAGCTGTCTAAACGCACTTTACCCAAATAGTTCACTTCCAGCGTTTTCAAAACACACAAGCTGTCTAAACACATTTTACCCAAATAGTTCAGGCGCGTTTTCAAAACGCCACCAAACCAAATAAGCTGCCACAAACGAACCCGGTGCGTTTTCAAAACACCACCAAACCAAATAAGCTGCCACAAACGAACCCTAAAACTCAAATTAAGAGTTGTACATTTTTGGTATTTCCACAGGTATGTTTACCTCGTAAAACTTAATTTATTGCAGCGTACTTAAGTATGAGCATTTTCTTTAGAAATTCTTACATATTCTTATTGTGCCACCAACATTTTAAATTCAATTTTCAGTGTTTTACACACTTCTGTTAGTTTTGTATGACAAAATTTTCAAAGATTTATCTTAGAAGCATTTAAATACATACCATACCATACAATTCTTATATGTCCACATATCTAATATCTAAAATATTTAACAACACATATAAAATATTTGACTTCATAACTTCTTAAAAGTGAAATACATCTTATCACGTATAGGTTTGTAATCTCAAAGTATTCTAATTATAAATATCAATTTAAGGTGTTAGATATGTAAATATATCATAATTGTGTGGTATGTACGTAAATTTAATAAAGTAAAATATTAAAAATATTACTATGTAGTTATCTATAATCTATTGCTGCCCTACATAAAGTATCCCCGTTTTCTTCTTCACTCCTCGACAAACTCTACCAATCTCAATTCTGAAATTAGTATAACCGATCAAGATCGAGGAGGAGCCAATCGACCAATCGTGCTTCTGCAAAGAAGATCTCGCGGTAAGATCGACGCCGTCGGCGAGACGGCACCGGTTATTACACGAACCAGGCCGTACGTGAGTCGTCCTCCCCTTTTACTTCCCCACTCTTTCTTCGATTCCACTCACACGCAACAAACGTTCAGGAAACAAGAATTCTGGATTCTCCTTTTCAGGAAATTTGCCGCTGGATCGAATGCTACCTTTCCCCTTCCGATCATCTTGTCAAGTTCTTAGCTTTTCAATTTTGCATGGAGACACGGAAGGGACTCAGCTGCAGTTTTGGGGCACATATTGACTCTTTTGTGTTCGAGAGTCAAATTTCCATAGATTAGAGCTGTTGATGATGCTGAATGAGCGGTGAAAGCTGTGAATTTGTCGGCATGAGTTTGCGTTACATCGCGGTGTCGGCAGTATGCTCTGCGCTGAGCTTCGCCGGGCTTCAGTGGTGGATGCTCTCATTGCTCTCGAAGAATGGTCTTGGCCTGGGGGATGCAGGACGTGTTGTGGAGGTGCTCGTTGGATCAAACGTCACGATTGCTTTACTGATCAATCTAGCACTTAATGCATATATCCTTCTAGTTCTGTGTCTAAAGGTAAGTCTCTTGAACTTTGTCTGAAGTTCTTACCTCGGTTGCTATGTTTTTCTCATTATGATAATTTCATTGGATTGGAAGGAATATAGGGAGCAGTGCTCCTTTTATGAATTAGTTTTTATGCACTCAGCGAGGGGTTCTTTCATACATCTAATTTGACAAAACATTTATATAATCTTTGATTCTATTACTTGCATATTATTATAATTTCTGCTACACAATCAAGTTTTACTCTTTCGTATTTTCAAAGTACCATTGTCTAGGGAGATATTTAATATAATATTTGTGTGATAAAAAGAATATTTTTTGATAAGCATTTTGACTGTGTGATAATTTGGATAAATTAATAATCAATGACTGTGGCATTTTAGCCTGTTGAACCAACACTGGAGAATTGTAGCTGCTAGGAAACTTTAATTATTTCTGATTGGAAGTTATCTTAAAGGTGGAAACTAGAGAATCTTTTGGGATTTATAAGATTGCAGTTTATCTAGGATATGCAGACCTTAGTGAGGTTTTGTTTTAATTTTAATTTACTGAGTTTCCTAAAACAGTTTGTATGTCATGGATGCGGTGAAGCCAATTTTGACATCTTGAATAAGTTGTCCAACAGAATTTTGAGAGGAGACTTGTATGCTTTTCTGTCTATTGCTGCAACAAGCTTTAGTATCATTTTTCTTGAACTAGTCATCAAGCAAAGATATGATATATGTTCTAGATTCTGCGGCTGTTCTTATCCTTCCATTCTATTGTATCCGGACAAACATTTCTTTCTTTGGTTGATTTGGTTGTTTATCTTTTTGTTGGCTTGCAGATGTTGTTCTTTAAACAATTGTATGCATCAGAGTCTCGGAAACTGATGGAACAGCTAATTAACTATGTTATATATAAGGTGATTATCATCTTAAAACTAAAATTTTGTTGTAAACTGATACAGCTCGATTTATGTTTCCACACATGCTATACCACTTTTAAATTCATGCAGATGAACTCTTTTGTAGTTAAAATGGCTTTTGATGTATTTGGATATGGCTCACCTGTACTATTGTTGGAACAAATCTTGATGGAAACCTGGCTTCGTTTTGCGTTGGAGCTCATTTGAGGCTTAAGATTTTTAGTATTTGTGTAATCTATTTGTGGATGATTTTTACATCAAGTTCTTTAGTAGTTTTAAGGCTGTGAAATAGATATAATCATGATAGATTATTTAAAAGACTCTAACCATCTTTCTTTGTACTTCATCATCATCTCATCATCATAACATCAACAATTTGCAGCAACCTTTTTGAAATGCTCCTCTTCATTGATTCATTATGCGTGTTGTATGTATTGTTAAATCTAGTTTATTGCAGTCCAACTTAGAACTTCTAACTAAGTTACCTTTGCTCATTTTCCTTTTATGGATCCCATGATAGTTTTATCTTCTTGTTTTATTCTATAGCATTTTTTGGCACACAAAGATGTTTGTTTGTGAATGCTGAGAGGATGAGTACGATACAATCAACTTCTCAAAATATTTTAATACACTTAGGGTCTGTTTGGGGGCAGCTGCAGCTTAATAATAAACTGCTGCACAACAGCCATAGAAAACTGCTGTGCAGCAGAAGCTGTTGCAGATAAGCTGACTATCTGTTTATTTATTGCAGTTTGAAAACTGTTGTGCTTTAGCTGTGCTTCAACTTTTTCTGAATAAATGATCATTCTGCCCCCGTATAGTAATGATGTTTGCAATATAACTTTCATACCAATATATTTATACTTCATAAGCAAAAATCCAATGTACAACTTTACTAAAAAGGATATACACCCCACATAACAGTGAGAATTGTTATTGCTAAAATTTAAAAAAATATTATTAATATAATATTTAATAATATGATAATATCATTTTTGAAATGTGAATGGCGTATGTCACATGCTAAGCCGTTCTCCAAGGATACTCTTGATGCCCGATTGCTCTCTACAGTCGAATCTTTCAGTCTATCTGCCTATCGAAAAAAGTCACAGTTTTCTGTGACTCTCCACAGACACCTATAAAACTGTCTTCCGTAGCTATGTGTCTGACGTGAAGTTAACAAGAAACATTGAAGTCTACAGTAGTAGTGCAATCTTTGGGAGGTACCAGAAATCCTAGATTTTATCTTTCCTGAATGCTTTAAATGACATTTCATTAGATATAACACAAGTAAAAATTAATAAAAAAAATAATTAAGTATAGTTTTATGAAGTTGTGAGGTCTAAGAGAACTCAGTATATCAACCAACAAATATGTCACTACAAGAAGGCAACAGACTTTCTAAAAAAAAGGTTCTTGGTTGACTTTAACCCACGTAATACCAAACTCGTGTGTGTCACATATGCATATCACCAAAAAGGTCTTACAGAAAAACCTCAAAAATTGTAGTACCGAAAAAAGAGAGGAACTTGGTTATTTTTATTAAGATTTCACATGTGACATCAACCAATATCGACAAATAAACCATCTAAAAGAACCCATAAGGTCAAACGTCTTATCATAGACCCCCAAAACCTACCAAAAGAAAAATAAATGAAATGCAAAAACTTTTTCGCAGCAGGCACCAACTTAGAATCGATTCTACTGTATTTATACTTTTTCGCAGCAGACACCACTTACAAATTCATATGACATGCAGTTCAAATTAATAACAAATTAAAAATTGACCAACTTTAGGGGTCATTTAAAAAATGCTCACCGCAAGTCTCTCTGCCCATCACTTGGAAGCATCAATCGTTCCCTTCACTGGATCCCACCCCGAACCTGTTGATTCTTGCTTAATTTCTTATAGAGTTTTCAATCATTCTTTAATTGATTCCACTTTTTTTTAACTGCATCCTATTATACTTTCTGTTTGTCTTTTCGTTGAATTTTCTCATAATATTTTGCCATCATTCTTTGTTGAAAGAGGTTGTCGTCCTATTTTATAGTTCAACCTCCTTAAGACAAAGTTCGCAGTTTTTAATTCTCTTTATCCCACATTGCAGATGAACCAGCCCCTTTGTTCTTAGCCATTGAATTACTATCATGAAAAATGAATATTAATATAAATAGGAATGCACACCACACCACCACACAGCTCCACACACACCACCACACCCTC